TGTGTGTATGCATGTATGTATGCATGCATGCATACATGCATGCATGCATGCATGCATACATCCAGGGACCTTTCTGGGTGGAGTTTGCATGTTCTCTCCGTGCATGCGTGGGTTTTCTCCGGGTACTCCGGTTTCCTCCCACAGACCAAAAACATGCATGTTAGGCTGATGGTAACTCTAAATTGTCCCTAGGTGTGAGTGAGAGAGTGAATGGTTGTTTGTCTCGTTTGTCTCTATGTGTCCCTGTGATGGACTTGCGACCCGTCCAGGGTGTACCCCGCCCCTCGCACAGTGATTGCTGGACATGAGCACCAGCGACCCCCGTGACCCAAAATGGAATAAGCGGGTAAAGAAAATGGATGGATGGATGGATGTATATGTATATGTATATGTATATGTATGTATGTATGTATGTATGTATACATATAATAGGGAGGTTCTGGTCCGTATGGACCGAAGCCTCCTGCCTGAGGGGAGTGGTTCAAACAGTCCGTGTGCAGGGTGAGCAGGGTCAGCTGTGATCCGACCTGCTCGCCTCACAGTCCTGGAGACGTACAGGTCGTGGAGGGATGGAAGGCTGCAGCCGATCACCTTCTCAGCTGAGCGCACAACGTGCTGCAGTCTGAGTCTGTCCCTGGCAGTGGCCCCGGCGTACCACACCGTGATGGAGGAGCTGAGGATGGACTCCATGATGGCCATGTAGAACTGCACCGGCAGCTTGGCCGGCAGCTCGGCCTTCTTCAGCTGTCGCAGGAAGTACAGTCTCTGCTGGGCCTTCTTGATGAGGGAGCTGATGGTCGGCTCCCACTTGAGGTCCTGGGTGATGGTGGTGCTGAGGAACCGATAAGAGTTTGCAGTGGTGATGGGGTATCATTACAGGTGAGGGGGGGCAGAGGGGCTGTGGCTTTCCTGAAATCTACAATCATCTCCACTGTCTTCTGGGCATTGAGATCCAGGTTATTGCTGCTGCACCAGGCCACCAGCCGGTCCACCTCCCTCCTGTATGCAGACTCATCACCGTCCGAGATGAGCCCGATGAGGGTGGTGTCATCTGCAAACTTAATAAGTTTCACAGAGTCATGGCTGGAGGTGCAGCAGTTGGTGTACAGGGAGAAAAGCAGGGGGGAAAGCACACAGCCCTGTGGAGATCCTGTGCTTACAGTCCGAGTGTCCGAGACAGCTCTCCCCAGCCGCACGCACTGACTATACATATAAGTCATGAATAAATCATTTTTTCAAATGAAAAAAAATGACTTATTCAGAGGGCTTTTAATGTGATACTTCTACTTAGTAGCTATGTTTACATGCGCAGAATTCTCTGACCGGATTGAAATGTGTTCTGTTTGAATAATTCAAATGTGTTGTTTACATGGGCACAATCAGTTCATGATGAGCGTTTACCTGCAGCAGGCTTTGTTCTGAACAGCAGTACTGACATGCGCAGAGCGGTAAACTCTCCTTAAAAAAACCACCGAAGAAGAAGTTCTACTTCCGGGTGAACGTAAACAAACCTGAGCACCCAAATGGACCCGCGACAGGTTTTAATGATGTTGGAGACGTTATTGCACTCCCTGACTGAGCTACAGGTAATAGAAATCATTTTGAGCTCTTTAAAAGTTTCTAGTAGAAATGTTGTGTCGCTCACCGACCAGTTTTACTTCCCTGACATGCTAATATTATTAGCGTTAGCCAGGCGGAAATGGCAAAGTCGCACATGCGCAGTCAGGTCAGTTTTTCACCATCAGATAAAAATGAACAGATCAAGCGTTTAAATGCGCACCGATCGGGTTTCGGATCAGCGTAAACCACCCGTTTCGTTCTGATCAGAAATTATAACGGATCACGCCGAATACACAAAAAATAACCCGAACGGAGCGTTTACATGACACACTTTTATTCCGACCGGCCATTTGATCCGGTTACTTATGTCCATGTAAACATACCAACTGTCAGCAATAAAACAATCTCTCAGTATGAGGCCACTGTCCTGGATCCAAGAATTAACTCTTTTGAACCGGTCTGGAGTGTCTCAGCGGGGGAAGGTAAGCAGGAGCCAGGAATTTTGTGATGTGGTCTGACAGTCCTAGGTGGGGGCGGGGGTTCAGCTTTGCATGCAAGTATTTGTTTGTGTGCGGATCAAAACAGACCAATCAGAGTTTGTACGCTTTGTATGCTTTGGCTACTCACCTCTACTATTTCCCAGTCAGGAATCAGCTATAGCAGTTCCCTTTATGCAGCATCACATCCACCACTGTTGCAGGATTTGGCAATAGACCAAGAAGACCCTAATCTGCACAGTTGCCTAGAACAAGAAGTTTACAGATATGCATCATTCCTCAGCCCCTTCATATCAACTTGGACAAAAGGTTTGGCTCTCCTCCCGTGACATTAATATCAAGGACACTCCCAGAAAGCTCAATCCTAAGTGCATAGGTCCATTGCCCATCAATAAAAACATTAACCCATCTGTTGTAAAACTGAAATTACCCTCTTCCATGAGAATCCATCCAACATTCCCAATTTCACAAATAAAACTGGTTTAGGAAAGTCCATTATGCCCACCTGCAGACCTCCCCCCACCTTCTCAAATCATTGAAAATCTTTCAGCATTTACTGTCCACCATGTCCAGGATGTCTGCCGTAGAGGGCGTAACTTTCAGTACCTTGTTGACTGGAGGGATATGGTCTGGAGAAGCGATCATGGATCTCTTGTTCTTTCATTTTAGGTCCTGTCCTTATCTCCTATTTTTATAAGATCCACCTGGAGAAACGATTGAGATTGCCAAGAGGCAATTCTTGAGATTTTTGAGAATTTGGGGGGGGGGGGGGGGGTGTACTGTATGAATTCTAGGTTTTTCTCCCGTCTTTGTTATAGCTCCTATACGATGGAGTGGAGCCTATTACCCACAGCAGTCTCCAGTCTGCTACTGAGAAGCTTCTAATATTTAAAGCTGTTTGGATCATCAAGACTCCGCTGGAACATTGTCCCATTCATGACATCGTGTCTGGCCCTAGTGCAAACTCAGATCCTTGGTGACTGACCTAACTTGTCTCCTTGTGCTCTTTGTAGCTCCTGTCATCTGTTTCCTCATCATTCTAGTTCTGCCTCATGTCAACACCTGATCTGAGTTCTCCTTGGATCCCTCTCCCATGTTTGCTGTCTACAATGAACAATAACAATAGCTAAACATCTGCCATCCAGCCTTAAGATTCATCCTGCCACTCTCTCTCACCTTCCTCCACTTACCTGGTTTCCTTGGTCTGCTCCACCATCCTGGAATCCCCTGGTACCAACTCCAAACCTGAAAGAGAAGAACATCAAGTAAGTCTTATCAATGGTATCTCTGGACTACAATCATATCTTGCTCAAATATCGACATAATCACCATATCCCTTGTCCTGCAGCTCCCTCCTGTGTTCCTGGACAGTCACCTTTTGTAAATAAATCATTTTTTTCTACTGGTTGGTCTCTTGTGTCACATTCGGATCTCTGGGTATCATGATTTAGCACGTCCCTTGTTTAACATGTAATACAGACATCATAAATAACTCTAATCAGACATGGAAAACCATCCATCCATCCATTTTCTTTACCCGCTTATTCCATTTTGGGTCACGGGGGTCGCTGGTGCCCATGTCCAGCAATCACTGTGCCAGGGGTGGGGGACACCCTGGACGGGTCGCAAGTCCATCACAGGGCCACATAGAGACAAACGAGACAAACAACCATTCACTCTCTCTCTCTCACCTAGGGACAATTTAGAGTTACCAGTCAGCCTAACATGCATGTTTTTGGACTGTGGGAGGAAACCGGAGTACCCGGAGAAAACCCACGCATGCACGGAGAGAACATGCAAACTCCACCCAGAAAGGCCCCTGGACCGGGGTTTGAACCAGGGACCTGCTCGCTGAGAGGCAGCAGCTCTACCAGTTGCGCCACCGTGCTGCCCTTCGACATGGAAAACCCTGATATTTAACTGCATCATTGAATTTTCTAGGTCGGAAGCCTTCCTTCAACATCCAGTGTCTGAGGCGGCAAGGCAGCAGTGATGACCTGCCGATTCCTGGGACATACCATCCGACATCACCGCCACGCCGCGTGCAGGTAACACTATCACCTCACACCTGTAGGTCAGGTGACACTTTGACCTAACCCACCCATACACCTGTTGTTCAGGTAACTTCTCCCTGTCTTCTCCACCCTCAGCAGGCGTATGACTCCCACCACTCCTTGGGTCGTCCCTCAGTGGCCGCCTCAGCGTCCTGGGCTAAGCCGTGTCCTCGGCGTGGCCGCCTCCTCTACGCTCCGCTCATTCTGATGGAGGAGGGGGGCAGTCCGCCATGGGAGGCAGGAGGAGTGTGTGAGGGGAAGAGAGGAGCGACAGGTTGCAGTGAGGAGACAGATTTTTCAAATTTAAAAAATGACTTATTCAGAGGGCTTTAAATGTGATACTTCTACTTACTGTCAAATGACAGGTGCAGCGGACCGACCGACCTGGTACGGTGGCCCTATAGGGACATCAGGTGAGAAGAAACTCTTGTCTTAAGTCGTTTTCACACTAGATAGTCCGGTAGACTCGGTTCGGGACCAATATTCATGAGCTTTTGTTACATTTGAGCTGGTGAGTTTGCATTCACACTGCACTGTGCAGTCGAGTCAACCTGTTGAACCAACATGTTCCCCCGCCCACATGGCATCAAGTTTTAGCAGTTTTAGGAGTTATATTTTGTCATTTTTCAAAAATGGACTCAGCATGAGCAGAAGATGAGACAGAAGACCACGGAGAATATTGTTTTTCACACAAGTCAGCTGACGGCTCCATATAAGAGAAATGTGTGTTTGTTTGTCCTGCGGAGCGGGGCCCGGTCTGTTTACATTCACACTGTACTGGAACCGTGCTGGAGTTCGCTTCTACCGGACCCAGACCTAGGTTTTAGCCCGGGCCAGAGTTCACCTTTTTGTTCCGTGACAGAGTTCGATGGCGCGTTCACACCTCCCTAAACAAACCGGACTTTCAAGGAAAACGAGCTAGAGTTCGATTAAAGCGGACTAAACAGGGCTAGTGTGAATGCACCCTTACTCATAGAGAAATAAACCTGTTCCTGTCTTACTGTGTTTGAACGGCTCATGTGACTGTATTGTAGCTCCGCCCCCATACCGGGCTTACACCACCCTCACAGTTCCCTCACAGCTCGGAGCTCCATTCACGGACAAACGAGGATCAGCCGACAGCCTGGTGGAGGCGGTGAGCCCACACCACCCATCACCAATCAGAATCCGAGTTTCTGCATTTCCATGGAGATGACAGTCCTGGTTCTGTTCTGGTCCTTGCAGGTTCTGATCTCAGAGGGACTTGGGGTTTACGCTCAGGATCCAAAGTTTGTAGCCTTTGCCAAGCGAGAGATTGCGGACGCATGTCACATGACCGTGGATGAGATGGAGTCTGCGGCAAGCGACCTCCTCAGCTCTGGAAGCCACGACTTTCTGAGCACCATCGCTGATGACCCGACCGCACTCTACAGTGACGAGGAGCCAATCAGGACGAGCCGTGAGGAGGAGGCGGAGCTGGCCGATGAGATGGCCTGTGTGACATCACTCTGACTGTCCACAAATCAGAGAGAGAGAGGGGGGACCGATCAGAGAGGCGCGCCTTAATCCAAGCAAAGAGTGAGATTTGAGAAATATCACGTAAACAAAAATACATTTTAAACAAACAAAAAGTCAAAGAAATAAAAAGTAAATGAGGTTAGAAGACAAGGAACCAAAACAATAAAATGAAGGAAAAAGGGACAAAATAACCAACAAAAACATGTACTGAGTTTAGTTTCAACGACGCTGTGAAGTTTTAACATTTGAATTTATTAACATTTTGTGAAATTTTAAGGAATTGGTTAAATGTTTTTTTTATTCCAGAAAAGATTTAAAACTATGTTTGTTTGTTATGGATGAAATGTTTGACTTTTTAAATGAAAATTCCATTAGAGGAGAACTTTTGAGTCTGCTTGGAACAAATGAAGGAAAATCAAACATTTGTTTTCAATTAGTATTTCTTTTATTTACTTTTTTCATCTTTTCTTCCAGGTAGAAAAATCTAATTTTTACCTACTAAATGAATTAATTGTTTATTTTTAATTAATCGACCAATCAGGTGAGATCTGGTTTTCACCTCAGGAAGTTGCTGTCAAAATAAAAATCTCGATTTCCTTTGTAATGCAGTTTGGTTCCGATTCCTTCTGCAGCCAAACATTGGTGGAAATCTGAACCGGGTCTTTTTGGAGAAGCTGGTGAAGACAAAGAGGTTCTGGTTCTGCTGCAGGTCCAATAAAGCTTTTGGCACTAAATCGTCATGTTACCTGCTGTGGTTCTGAAAGTTAAACTGTTGTTTTTTGTTTTTGTGTGTGTGTGTGTGTTTTCGGACAAACTTTGATTAATTTTTACATTTCAGACATTTTAAAAACATCGTTGATGTTTGTGTTTTTGTTCAGACTTTGGATTCAAATAAAGATTGTTTTTCTGACAGAACCGAGCCTATTTGGTCCCTCGTTCCAGAACTAAAGGGCTCATTTTTCTTTTATTTCCAATAAAAAGTTTCTGCCTGACCCATTTGTGTTTCTGTTGGATTCTGTCAGAACCATTCCGCTTGGACTGTTGCCTTACTGACATGCAAGCTTTTATTTTGAAGGAGAACATGGTTTCAGAACAAAAGACAATTGATCCAGGTGGGTTCTAGTTCTGGACCGATGGATCATTTTGTCAACTGTTTGTTTCATCGATGAAATATCGATGACGTTGCACGTTC